TGCACTCTGATCTTCTAGGCTTCTTTTACTCTCTCCCTCCTTATTTCCTTTCTTCCCCTTATCTAAAACCCTCCTGATGTAGGCGCACATGGTAGGCCCAGGATGGCGACGCGTGGCACAGGCCGGATCGCATCCTAGTCATCCGCTCATAACTAACTCCAAGCAGGTTAAAGTATAAATAAGTGGCATCACTCCCTAGGCAATCTATCTCGGCATTTACTGCTCTAAGCTCTCTAGCTTCCTAGTGACATCGTATGAGCTATTCTACTCAAGCCTCGTCCGGCCACTTATTGTGCCCTTGCTAACTTGATCATCGGAGTCTCCACCCCTAGGGTAACACCTAGGGCCTCTGACGTGCTTCTTCCTCTATAGGTCGAACTTGTAGGCCCTCGGACACATCAGCAAGCCCTCATCTCAAAAGCATAATTACATGTTTGCCCTCGACCCATCCTTGGAAGCAACACCTCCCAACCTCCTCATCTCTCAATCCTTCTTAGGATTGATTCCTTTTGGTCTTTCTTTTTCCCCATCCGTACCCAACCCCCTATCAGCCACTACTCCTTCCTTAGTCTTCTGCAACCTTTCACCCCTAGCCTTAGACACACCCACCCTCCTTTCTCACCCATTGTCTCTCTCTCACCAACTTCACCTCCTAATCCCCTACTCATCTCTCCTTCTGCTAGCAGATTCATGGGCAAATCATAGCCAAAGATGGGAGCTGAAGAGTTTGTAGGACCATTAAAACACAGTTCTAATTAGATGGGAAGGCTTCGAAGGAGTATTTGATTTTTTTTTATTAGTAATAAAAAACTTTATTAATGATGTGAAGATTTGTGAAACTTTAGATACAATAGGGGGAGGTAAAATGTCTTAACTCCCCACCAACAGAATACAATGAAAGAAAGTTAGAAATTAGCACAAAAGATAGACTCCCTATTCACCCCCTGCTTGGCCAGCCCATCTGCAAATGAGTTAGCAGCCTCTTCACCCAGTTGTATTGTATCTCAATATCCCTACCCAGCCAAATGAATTTTTTTCTTTTCATTGTTATAGCTCCACAAACGACTGTCCTCTTCCTTCAGCCAACTAATCACCACCTTCGAGTCACCTTCCAGGACCAAACGTCTGATATTTAGTTCCCTTGCTCTTTGTATTCCTTCCAGAGTTGCAAGGATGTCAGCCCTAAGAGAGTCTCCTTCGCCAATGGGGCTTGAGAACAAAGCAATAACACTCCCTTCCTCATTCCTGAATACTCTCCCAATCCTAGAAGGGACTAAGAGTCCTCTTACACAAAGCAGAGGTAGCTATCTCTTTCCAATTTCTTAATAAGTCAGCCACAGAAAAGTCTAAGAACAGCTCCATAGATTTTAGCCAATGGACAGCCCTTAAAAGTATTAGGTCTAATAGATCTTCCAGGGTTCTTTCCATGTCTGAGAAAATTCGTAAGTTTCTTTCTTCCCACAAGGACCAACACACAGCTGCCCTAATGCTCCTCCACATAATCTTCCCTCTCTTCTTAGGCCATTTGAAGAACATAGGAGAGAATAGGCTTTGGACACTCTTGAGGGGATTCCAAGAACACCCAAAGAGGGAGAGAGCCCACTCCCATACAGATTTAGTAACCTTAGAAAAAACCATAACATGGTAACCAGTTTCCCCATCAGCTTTACATAGAGTACACCTATTAGGAAGTAAACAAGAATTGGGTCTCTTTTTTTGAAGTAAATCATTTGTGTTAATTCTTTCCAGGAAAATTTCCCAACAAAAACTGCCAACCCAAGGACGAATGGGCTTGCTCCAAATTTCTTTGCCCCTTGAAGAGAAGACAAGTTCACTACTACAAGCGACCCTCCACATAGTACTACCACTTGAATGGAAGCCCAACCAGATTTATTTGAATAGACTCCACTTCCTCCAACTCCAACTCGTTGCAGGATGGGTTCCAGTTCTGCAACAAGGCCCAACCCTCTCGTGTTTGTATTCTTGTTGTGACCTCAAGAGAGCGACCAAAATCCAAAATAGCTGTCGTCTTCTCAAACGGGATCAGGAAAGCTTGTTCTATCAATGGAAGCGTCTTCATGACATCAATTAATACTCCATTCCAGTCTACCACTTCCTCTTCGAATCTCATTACCTTTCTTTTTCCCCAGTCCTCCAAAGTTCCATCTATTACCAACTTTGGACACACAACGGCTCCACTCACACCTTTGATTTTTTTCTTTCCCCTCCTCTCCAATCTGTGAGATTGCTAGGCTTTTATCTGTTGCGATTTCTTGTGCTGACGTTTCCTATACTTGGGTAGGGGTGCTTGTTTTTATTTCCAATCCCCACCTCCTTTGCTCAAATCATCTATAGCTCCTGCAACCATAATCCAACCTTGTTTCCTTTTTGCTTCTGGTATACAAATCACTTGCTTCTTTCCATTTCCAAACACCTCAGTTAGCTGAATGAAGGTACCCTTGTTATTACTTTTCTTCTTCACCAGGAATCTTTTTCTACCACAAGTCAACTCTCCTTTCCATCTAATCTCTGTGATTGCAAGGATTGTACCATCAAGAAAAAACCTTTGAACCAGCAAATCACCTCCCTCCCCAAAACTACTAGAGCTCTCTTATCTTCTCCAATTGTAATCATTGAACGTCCACCGAATACTTCCAAAAGAAATCTTTTCTTTTCCACAACAATTATCTTCCTCCACTTTGTCGCCGGCAAGAACCTTTCCTTCATCGTCATGGTCAAAGGTTGAGAATCAACGGTGGATAGCTTTGACGGAGCACACAAGAGCTCATGGTAAGTCTTCTCCAGGGGTGGATTCGAGCCGAGCTGAATAGTATGAGGCTTGAGATTGTTTTACAAGGCTCGAGCTCGATTCGAGCCAAAACCTTGAGCTCGAGCTCGGCTCGAGTCAAAAATTCATAAGATTGAGCTCAGCTCGGCTCGAGCTCAATTTTGAGAAAAAATGTTTTATAAAAATAAAAAGTTATATATATATAAATATTTTTATTTGATATTTAAAAAATTAAGAATTATAATAATTAATAATTATAATATTTTATATATATATATATATATATATATTATTTTCTATAATTTTATTATATATATATATATTCGAGCCGGCTCATATCATAATCGAGCCAATGAATTGGGCTCGAAGCTCGGCTCGTTGCACTCCTAGTCTTCTCAAACCCACATTTTCATTCTTGATAGCCCCCCACCCCACCTCCTCCTGTAATCTTCAAAAAAATTAACAATTTTGTTGCTTCAGCCCACATTTTTTTAACCTTCAAAAAAATTAACAATTCACACTTGTTTATTGCAATTTTTTGCAAATCTAGCACTCTAGGAATGAGGTTTGGAGTTTCATAGTCATTTGGGGGTGAAAGAAGGCTTATTTCAGGGAAAAAGAAAGTTGCTTACCCCCCCCTCTTTTTTTTGTTTTTGGCCATATCCTTTTTGTCGATATGCTACAAATACGCCCCCGATACGGTCCAATACAGGTCCGATACGCATGAAAAAATTACACCCGATTTCCATGCCCGTATCTGTTTTTCAAAGATATGATACGATACGCCCCGTATCGGGTGTATCATATCGAAATCAAAATTTTAAACCTTGAGTATAATAACATATTAAAAACAACACCATAAAATGACTCATAATGAGCATATACAAGTATGGGTCATGTGCAGTGAAAAACTATGCACAGTCAGGCTAGGAACAACAAAAGGATTCCTAAGAAAACACAAAAAATAGCACTCCCAAGTAGAGGTCTATACAAACAGCGTGTGTAATCCAAAAAAAACATGACATGGAATCTTATAGAACTATGATTCAACTATCCATAGGCTGCCAGCCAAGAGTCAAGGGTAGCTATAACCCTCTGAATCACTCCTTCCTGTCACATAATCTTTTTCTCATTGATAAATCTGGCACTACAAATTCATGACAGAAAATCTTAGGTTTCCATCTATGTAAACACAATACCAGGTTTTTTAGACCTTAAGCTTTACCAAACAGACAAATAACAGTTTCAACCAACTCAATACTTTCCTTCTTAAGCAGTACAAAGAAAAAACCAAAGTAGCTTATTAGTAGAAATGAACAAAATAAGAAATAAAGAAAAACACTTTGATGAGCTTAGGTGATATTTTAGTTAAAACTGAAGTTTTCAAAAAAAAAATAGAAGAAAAAATGAGGATATGATAGATCATAATAGAGAAATTTAATTTGGGTTGTGCTGTTATAGTCAAACCAGACACACCATCCAAACTGGAGATTGCTGACGTGGGAGGCGTATGCCTAGAGGCATGCCTCCAGGCAAGGCACCCCCCAAAATGTCCTAAGCGTATGCCAGAGGCGTTGACACCTCTGAGGCATACGTCTCAGGTGCAAGAGGCGTACAGCACATACACTTTTTTATGAGGTGTGCTAGAGGCGTACACTCCATGTGCCTCATGCACACCTCATATAAAAAGACAGAAAAGAAAGAAAAAAAAAAGAAAGGAAAGGAAAAAAAAAAGGGAAGGGAAGAAAAGATAAGGGGAAAGAAAGACCCCCTTTCAACTAGTGCTATGCATCTTCGTTCTTCTTAATATAAAAGGTTTTTATTAAAAATAAAGAAAAACGAGGTCCTCCTTCCTCTTCTTCCTCCTCACCCCACTCCTCTTAAGGAGGCTTATGCCTCCTTGTGTTTGGGAGGCTTACGCCTCTTACATTCTGAACTAGACCTCACGTCAAACCTCCGTGTTTTAAAACATTGCTTCAAATTATGCATCTTATCAAAAGATTCAAAACTATTGTTAGAGCAAGAAATCAAGTTGCATATAAGCTCTTTCAATACTATGAATGTTATAAAGAGAGAGAGAGAGAGAGAGAGAGAGAGAGAGAGAAACTATTATTAGAGCAAGAAATCAAATTGCAAATAAGTTCTTTCATGATATATGAAAATTTGCATCACAGTCTAGAAACAAACACCAAGGATGAGAAGAAACTTTTACCTTTGAAACCCAAAATAGAAGACCCAGCAACAAAACCACCCACTGCTCCATTAATAAAGTCTCTCTTCATCCTGTAATTCTGCACCAACTGCTCCACACCTATGTAAACTCCTCCAATTGCAGCAAAGGTCAGACCATAATTACCCATCATTTTCAATGTCCTTATAAGCCCGGGAAGTGCAACACTTCTTTCAACACGAGGCACATCATACCAAGTAGCAACAATCGTTCCCCAAATAGTGCCCGCAACTAAACCCGTGGTTGCTCCTTTAATCGTCTTCATTGTTGAACTGTCTTCTTCCTCTAAATACCTACGTTCTGAAGGGTCCATGGCTCTCTTCTAAACTGATCACACTACAAACAACCTAAAACATAAGAATGCGGATGATAAAAGATGCATTCCAACATCCTAAGCCACGAACATATGATTCATAAAACAGATAACTGAAGAAACCGAAGAAAATAGTTTCGTAAAACGCAACTAATCAAAAAACTGCAACATGGATATAGTTAAATCTCAGACGTCAAATAAAGAAACCCTAGGACTACAAATAGGATAAATCCCGTGATCATAGGCTAAATTCAAAATATGTTATTAAGGGCATCCAAGTCAATAAATGATAATGGAAACTTAAATAAATAAAGCAATCTGAACAACTACATCAAGGCCATTGCTTCTGCTAATTTGCTTAAGGTCACCTGCATCCAGATGCATAATGTTCATTCATCAAATAAATCGAATCAAGTGAAGCTGAAAATAGGATAAAGTCAGTTGATTCTATGGATTGAATGAAACCTAGAAACCAAGAACAAATGGATTAAAAGAGAAAGCAATCGTATCAAAGGAATGGACCCTGCATTTATCTCTGAAAAGAGCAATTGGAGTAACAGACAACAAAATCATGGAACTTGCATATGATAAGATACTATCGAATTGAAATCTTAGATAAGCCATCTTTTTCACTTGATTTACACACATTCCTATACTGCAGATGAGAAGAATTATAGTTGATGAAAACTTACAGCAAAAGGAGAGGAGGAAGTGAGTGTCTGGTAGAGCGTTACCGAATTTCTTTGCGACGAGCGACGACCTTTCTCCCCTTTCCCCTTGCACAATACCCTACCAAAAACTTGCAATTACCAAATTACTCGTGAAATCGGAGTAGGAGGTTGATTTTGCATGTGGTTCGGATCTCATACGATGTAGATGCATACGAGGATCCAAACCCGCTAATTACGAGTACCAAAATATGGATCTGATCATCTGAATTGGAGTTCTGGTAAGCCCGCTTCCTTTTTTAGAATTTTAGTCCCGCAACCTAATTTCAAGCTTGCGTTATGTTGTCACACCATTCAGTACTCACCACTCACCATTGGGAATTTGCGACTCCAATTAAGCTTTCACATTATTGACATGTTATGCTTACAAAGTAAGGGTCGGTTTGCTTTTACCTGCTCTAAAGTTTTTTTTTTTTTTTCCTTTGTGATATCAATTCCAATGTCTACGTTAGGTCATATTCAAATATACTCTGATTCGAATCCAATCCGATCTTTTTGCATTCCTAGATAATTTGTTGGAAGGGGATTCAAATTTTCAAGAATCTGACCTCCTTCCCCTTTGGTTTTGTTTTCAAAGAAAGTAAAGCATAACCCAAAAACACCTAAGGCTCAATTTGAGAAGACTGCAAATACAAATGTGCATAGTGTAAATGAGTAAATCCTTGTATTTTGTATGACTAAATCCGTATTTGCACTTTACAGAACTGTATTTGTACTCTTCCCAAACTAAGGCTAAATAATACATGATCCATAATCCAACTTTACACATATTTTCATAATTTAGTCAAATACATTTTCAATGCAAATAGGATTTAATTGTCAATCAACCCAAACAATGCAATATAATTAATATATATTTCATTATTTAAGTCCATACACTAGGTTCAAATATATTTATACTAAAAAGTGGGTACTTGTTTTGATTTTTTTCTTTTTTTTGCAAATCCAAAATTTTAAATTTGATTTTTGATTATATAATGTTAATTATATCTTTACCTTTTATGCTCAACTTAAAAAGATTACAAATATATAAAATAATACAAAATACAATCTTTTGTACTCTGCATATTTGTACTCCTTCCCAATTGAATCTTAATTACACAAGTGCATAACACGTGCCCCTACACTGCTTACATCAAAAGTCAAATTTTATAACCAAGAAAAGGAAACCAATCTTGCCATCTTGCAAAGCTGATTCCAGTAAGGCCAATCAAGATTGACCCTTTATATTGAATTAAAACCCCGGGCCCTATAACTGGTTTGGGTCGGAATCAGCTCCAGTGATTTAGAATCAAACCCTACCCAAGGTCGGAACATCATCGATTAAAATGGTAGAACCGACCCAATTACTCACCCCTACTCGGAGGTGTTGAAGAAGTAAATAACGGCTTGGAATGGAGACAACCAAGATAAGTCAACGGGTCGGTTGGGTTTGGTTGCACTACAAACAATGTTAATGAGTTGGGTTCCAACTACCAAGTAGGCTCAACCAGAAACCCGAGTACTTCCCGCTTCATCGAGACATCACCAGCATAAAACGAATTGAGTTGGCCAGAGCCAAGGCGATGAATTAGACAATGCCAAGAGCGCTCAGGGAGTCAATAGGACAGCAATCCAACGCAGAGATACAATATCACAAGAATAGCCACCACCTTGGACTTGTGTCGAGGAGGTAAGGCAACTGCTCACAGGTATTCGATGTTTTGTCCAAGTGATACATAAGGGCTAATAGTGTGGATTAGATTGGAGGGACAGTTTTTCGGTGGGTGTGTGCCAAGTTTGACAGAGCCGTCTGCTATGAACGAACACGAACAATTTTCATGATTTTTCTTCTTCTACTTTGGCCTTTCCTTTTGGTTTGATTTAATTTTGGCTTCCCTGTCACAAATGAGGCGTTGTTACTCCACTTTCGTAACGGCTACAAAATTCAAAAGCCCACTAAACTCAAAACACCAACTTCTCGCTTTAACCGACTCCTGCAAATCCATGGACCAAATGAAGCAAGCTCACGCCCTATTGGTCACCACTGGCCTTATCCTACACCCCATCCCTGCAACTAGACTTCTAAAACTCCTGACCCTTTCAAGCTTCGCTTCTCTTCCTTATGCCCAATTGCTCTTTGATCAGATTCCTTCACCCGACCTCTTCATCTACAACACCATGATCAAAGCTCATGCAAGCACGACCGATTCCTCTTGCAGTTCTCTTTTAATTTTCCGATCGATTCTCCGAGACTCGAGTCTTGTACCCAACCAGTACACCTTTGTTTTTGTTCTCAAGGCTTGTTCTCAGGGATTAGGAATTCGGGAAGGTCAACAAGTTCGCGTTTACGCAATGAAGGTTGGGTTGGAAAGCAATGTGTTTGTCACGAATGCTTTGATCCAGATGTATGCAAATTGTGGGTCGGTGGATGATGCGAGAATGGTGTTTGACTGGAGTGCTCAGCGGGATTTGTTTTCTTGGAATTTAATGATTGGTGGCTATGTAGGATCCGGAGACGTTATTCACGCTAAAGAATTGTTTGATGCAATGCCCGAAAGAGATGTCGTCTCTTGGAGCACAATGATTGCAGGTCTTGTACAGGTAAATAGGATTTATTGCGTTTAAAGATTTTTTTTTTCAATTTTTGGCAATGAATATTTGTTGTAGGTAGGCTAGTTGTCGTGATGACTTCTTTGAAAACTTCACTAGTTGTCTTTAGGTGGGTTGCCTAATTGAGGCTTTGGAGCTCTTCCGTGAGATGCTGCAAACAGGCCCCAAACCAAACGAGTTTACCTTGACAAGTGTTCTTGCAGCCTGCGCAAATCTGGTGGCACTGGATCAAGGTAAATGGATCCATGTGTATATAGACAAAGTTGGTATCAAGATGATCGAACAGTTACTTGCTAGCCTCATCGACATGTATGCTAAGTGTGGTGAGATAGAACTTGCTTCCAATGTTTTTCATGGTGAAGCTGGTACTAGGAAAACAGTTTGGCCTTGGAATGCCATGATTGGTGGGTTTGCGATGCATGGACTCTCCCACGAAGCAATTGATCTTTTTGAACAGATGAAGATGAAAAGTATAGGTCCCAACAAAATCACATTTGTTGCCTTGTTAAATGCATGCAGCCATGGAAAGTTGGTTGAAGAGGGGAAATGGTATTTCAAGTCCATGTCTAGTTGCCATGGGATTGAGCCAGAAATTGAGCATTATGGATGTATGGTAGATCTTCTTGGCCGTGCTGGGCTACTGAAGGAGGCAGAAGAAATCATATTAGCCATGCCCATGGCTCCAGATGCTGTCATATGGGGAGCATTACTTGGAGCCTGTCGGATTCATCGGGATACAGAAATGGGAGATAGAATAGCAAAGGCAATCAAAGAATTAGATCCTTACCATGTGGGCTGTCATGTTCTACTGGCTAACATGTATTCCTCATCCGGGAGATGGAAAGAAGCTAAAGCTGTTAGAGAGAAAATTGAATCTGGTGGCACAAAAAAGACTCCTGGTTGCAGTTCTATTGAATTGAATGGGGTGTTCCATCAGTTCCTTGTGGGAGATCGTTCACACCCACAAACTAAGCAGATTTATTTATTCTTGGATGAAATGACTATGAAATTGAAGCTTGCTGGGTATGTGCCAGAACTAAGAGAAGTATTGCTTGATATTGATGATGAGGAAGATAAGGAGACTGCTCTATCAAGGCATAGTGAGAAGTTAGCAATTGCATTTGGGTTGATCAACACAGAACATGGAACCCCAATTCGCATAGTGAAGAACTTGCGCGTGTGTCAGGATTGCCATCAGGCAATAAAGTTCATTTCCAAGGTTTATGAAAGAGAAATTATTGTTAGAGACCGAATTAGATTTCACCATTTCAGGAATGGACAATGCTCTTGCAGAGATTACTGGTAGATTGCAGAGTGGTAATGTATCATTTGATCAAAATTGATGCTTTTAATTATTTTTCACATCCAACCCACGTTTACATATGGAATTCCAACTCGTCTGAGTATAACGTACAGTGGCAGAAGGATTTAACCAATATATACTTGCTTCTTTGCACCCATTGAACAAAAGGTTCAACTCAGGTCTTTCACTCTCCAAAAAACTCTGACCATTGGTTTAGTCTGCTGCTTCACGCACGTGGGAGAGTGGAGATTGAAAGAGATGTACCCTGTTGTATTCGTGTTTGTACAGAATACACACTTCAAGGTTTGGTTCTTTATTGTACTCTTTCACACTGTTGGACGTATTGGTCCTATTGGAAAGTCAATTCCATTCGGATTAAGAAATAAAACTCCTTCACATTCTTCTTTTATTCTTCTTATAATTCGCAGGTTCAAGCACGAGAGAATGGGAAAGCAAATATATACAAAAACAAGATACTCTTCTAATCCTCCTAACAGGAAATATCTTTTATTTTGATTAGTGATCATGTTCTATATCGCACAGCACCCAGATGTGAAACAAATAGCATTCTAACCTACTTCCAGAAAACCGCCTTATATTTACTCACAGGTAACAGCTGCTTTTAATGCTTTCATTGCCTGCCTGTTTGGTTGGGCTTTCCCATGGCGACTTTTAGCCTGGACGTTATATAAGCAATGTTTGGTGAAAATTCCCAAAAGCCTGAATTTGCTTTCCTTCAAGGCTTCAACCGAGAAAACAGGGCTTTGAAGTTTCTTTTAGTGGCTTATCTGAAGTAGCTCAGTGAAAACAGCTCAACCAAAGTTTTAGCCCTCCCAAATTCACAGCTAAAATAGCATCAGCTTGGGCAAAATGTCAAGTATGTCACGGATCTCTTGAATAGTCACAACTTCCCCCATTTCCTTGGCCAATTTTCCATAATTCAGGAGCAACCCATGTCTGATACCTAATTATAAATACCCAACTCCCCCTCGCCCCCAAGGAAAACTTTAGACTCCGTTTGGTTTGTGGGAAGATTTGGGTGGGATGGGAAAAGATGGGATGGGATGGGATGGGAAAGTGTAAAAATTTAACTTTCAAGTGTTTAGTTTTAGATGGAAAAATAGTAGGAAAATTACCCAACACAAAATAGAGATCTCGGAGGTTCAATCCACCCTCATCGCCGGTGAATGCCTACTAAGGATCGTCATCAACGGTGTTACCTCGTGCGAAACTGGAATTGCCAGCAGCGAGGATGAAGACGAAACCAGCAACGACAGATCTGGGTTCCTGAAACCATCTGTTGCCGGTTTCCTTATAATCTTAATTCCCAAAAAGAATGATGCCAGACACCCCAAAGATTTTTGGCCAATTAGCATGGTGACAAGCGTCTATAAGATTCTGGAAAAAGTGCTCTCTCGGAGGATTAAAGTAGTTCTCCCCTCTCTCGTTAGCCAAGCACAAGGAGCCTTTATATAGGATAGACAAATTACAGATAAGATCCTTATTGGAAACGAAAGTGTGGAAGAGATAAGGAGATCGGGCAGGAAAGGATTTGTTTGCAAGCTGGACTTGGAGAAAGCCTATGACTTAGTGGATTGGAATTTCCTGTTGGAGATGTCGAGAAGACGTGGATTTGGGGATAAATGGTGTAATTGGATAAGAGGATTCTTAAACTCTTGTCGTTATTCAGTGTTGGTGAATGGGGTGGTTAAGGACTTTTTTCCAACCAATAGAGGCTTAAGACAAGGGGATCCACTCCCCCCTTTCCTCTTTACACTTGTTGCTGATGTCTTTAGTAGGATGATCTCCAAAGCAGATGAGGAGGGCCAAATAAAGGGATGGAGAATAGGGAGTAGAGGCATTCCAGTAACTCACCTTCAGTTTGCTGATGATATTGTT